TCATTGGAGCAAAAAGATGCAAAAAGGAGCAAATTTGGAGCAAAAAGGACCAAAATATGAAGATTTGAACTAGGGCGCCGACGGCGAGCCCAACGGGCCGACGGTGGGTTTTTCCCGAGAGTCCAGAATCAAATATTCTAGAAGGCCGCCAACGGCGCCATCGAGGCCACCGACGGCGAGAACGGTGGGTCTCTTAACAGGTGCATTGAATGTGGACGATTTTTGAAGGGACGCTTAGGCAACTCTTGAAAACTCTTCCACAACTTTAAGAGAAACATTTTGGAGGCCGAAAGTGGGGAGTCCAGAGTGTCCAGAGAGTGTTGAGAGGTCTACTAGTGTCCAGGAGAGTGTAATTTAGGGTTAGGTATTGTGAGGAATTCTTCGAGAGATTGTAAGAGTGGAAGGAAAGTGAGAGATTTCTTCCTCCTTGCAACTTCGAAGGAGAATTCTATGTGCTGTAAAGAAAGGAAGAGATTCAGAGGAACTTCGAGGAGTTACTTAGGGAGGAATTCGAGATAAGTTGTATTTACTTATTGTAGTTTGTATGACTTTGCTTTTATATATTCAATCCATGTTTTGTTGTATCTTCTCCATGAGTTCTGAGCAGTTTTCTCTATCTTTCTCCTTATCTTAAGATTTTATGAAATGGTGATTTGAATTGGTTGTGCCATAAGAATCTTAACAAAGTTGTGATGATCTTTTCACTTTAATCTTAATTTACTTTCAATCTGGCCAAATGATTTGTTAAAATATGTTGAGTTTTACGACTAAAGTGACGATTACATCCAAGATTTAGGGAGTTCAAAGTCCTTAAAAGTTGGGTGTAAATAAAAAGGGAAATAAAAATTATCGAGCGTAGAATTGGAGATTTTAGAGTGACAGACTAAAATCCTCAATTCGGTCCTATCGTTTGGGTGCTGAAGTGTAGATGTTAGCCCTCAGGGGAGGGGAACGTGGGAGCTCCGAAGTGAGATCCGATATCCTCCCAGCCTAGCCACAGATTCATTAACCAAGCATAGGATTAGTTAATGTTCTTTATGTCTGGTCCAAAGGGTAAAGAATAGGTTTGTTCTTATTTGGCACAATACAATTTGAACCGATTCAATTTATCCATTCACTTAAATTTCCTGACAAAGAGAAGGATGCTTTCTTATATATTGAACTTCACATTAGAAACTTTATTAGTGGAATTAGTTGATTGAGAGTTTATTAAAATTACATTTTTATTTTAATTGCCTACTAGTGACAAATCTGTAATTTGAACTATGTTGTTGTGATTAAGTATTGATTTTCCAAATCTTAAGTTCGTAGCCTCTAATATTACTCCCTGTGGGATCGATATCCAGGATACCATTAGAGCCCTGTATTACTTGAGCGATATGTATACTTGCGTTGATAAGTGCAACTTTGCAATTATTGAATATTTTATACACATCTTTATCAAATCTATAACTGTTGTCAAGTTTTTGGCACTGTTGTCAAGGATTTAAATCTTCTAGCAGCAGTATCAAATTCTTGTATTTTTAAACATATATAAAGTCGCTGTCAAGTTTTTGGCGCGGAATTTAGGTACTGACTTCAAAGGGAACGAATCAGAATTTAGGTACTAACCCCAAAATAATAGTTGAAATTTGGGTATCAACCTCAAAAAGAGAATTAGAATTTAAGTACCAACCTTGAAGGGAGGGAATCAGAATTTAGGTACTAACCCCGAAATGAGAGTTGAAATTTGGGTATCAACCTCGAAAAGAGAATCAGAATTTAGGTACCGACCTCAATGGGAGGGAATTAAAATTTAGGTACTGACCCCGAAATGAGAGTTGAAATTTGGGTATCAACTTAAAAAAGAGAATCAGAATTTAGGTACCGACCTCGAAGGGAGGGAATCAGAATTTAGGTACTGACCCCAAAATGAGAGTTGAAATTCGGGTATCAACCTCGAAAAGAGAATCAGAATTTAGGTACCGACCTCAATGGGAGGGAATTAAAATTTAGGTACTGACCCCGAAATGAGAGTTGAAATTTGGGTATCAACGTCGAAAAGAGAATCAAAATTTAGGTACCGACCTCGAAGGGAGGGAATCAGAATTTAGGTATTGACCCCAAAATGAGAGTTGAAATTTGTGTATCAACCTCGAAAAGAGAATAGGACTTTAGGTACCGACCTCGAAGGGAGGGAATCAAAATTTAGGTACTTACCCCAAAATGAGAGTGTACGAAGAATGTCGAAATATGTGAAGTTTTGCAAAATTGTGAGAGAAGAAATCAAACCTAAGGGAATGTAGAATAGATCAATTTGTAGCAAAAGAGGATAGTAAAGCAAAATTTTCTTTTGAATTTGCATGATGATTATTATATATATATTTGAAAATTATTTATTGTTTATTTTAAGTTAATTATATATATATACATATCTATATACATATATATCTTGAATATTATTCATTTATAAATTTATTTATTTATATATCGTTCTTGCTTGCTAGACTTTCTCAGAATTAGGGCAAATCAAATTTGTTTATTTTCTCAATCAATTGCCCAAATCTGCATTCACAACTGCGGAAAGCAGTTCCAATATATTGTCATTAAACTGTTATATCATGAGTATAATTTGATGTCGAATATAATGCTGCTTGATTTCATGTAATCAAAAAATCCTCTGGAATTATTACTGCATAGTCCATATATTCAAATACTTTCTTAGTCATCAATACTAAAGTCACGTGATTGAATCCAGTCTTGTGTATCATCTAACTGTATTTTGTTGTCGGTAGTTGTGTTGAAATAGTAAGTTGTATAAGGACTAGCCTCACCTTCTAACCTATCATCAGAAAAATAGAAACGATCTCTCCTAGATATATATTGAGGCGTGTTGTCTTTAAATAACTTACAACTCAAAAGGCTGCAAGTTCTCGATCTCAAGATCGGGTTTAAACCAAAATGTTACCTTATCCTCATTCATCCTTCTGAGGGTTATTGAAACTCTCATATACGACACTCCAGGGATGCAGTGTTTGGCCACATCAGCGACGTTTCCCTTTAATATCAACACAGAGCCCACAAGAAAAAGAATTTCTACGGAACCTCGAAATTCTCCGTCACCAATAATCTGAATTTCTATTCCAAACATGATGTTGCACTTATTTATAAATGATACCGTGCAAAATGGCCTTGTAAAATCATGATGATCGACGTATAGAGGAATGCAGTCACGAGCTTCGTATATATTAACTATACAGCTGCTTAGAATACAATCTGCTGGAAGTATACGCCAGGTCACCAATTGTTTAATTATTCTCTTGATGAATGACGGTAATGGGTCAACCTCATTGTGATGAATTATTCCGAGAGGATTTCCTTCTTTATCTCGGGCAAAATTGTAACAGCAGTAGTATTGGATGGTAACTCTTCCTTTACCCCGTTTCCATTTTCTCAGCTCAGAATATGTTCTTCTTCCTAGCCGACCAGCACATCCTATTTCTCGCTCTAAAAAGACACGTTTTACAATCTCGTCCTGTTCACTGCTGGTGAACACGTTGGTGTGCAGTTCTAACCCTTCAAGTATATTAAAATAATTGCCCTGAAGCCTTTGGAAGTGCTCAAAATTTTGTTTTCTGAACTTTTCATATTTCTCCATTTCATGCTCTGGAATGATCTGCAAAGGACGCGTTTTGTTCACAAATTGGGGAATATAAGGTTCAACTTCCATGATTCTTTCCTCAATCTCTTCTTCTTTGAAAATCACCCCTTCTTTAGCTTTCATGGGTTGAGGTGGCATTTCAACTGGCTGATCTAGCTGTATACACATATTAGGCTTATTTTTTCTTTAAAAAAAAATCGAACTAACGTGAAAGAAGAAAGGAGAAAGAAACAAAACAATAAAAAAATGTCATATATCAAGTTATATATATAGAATATATTGTAAAATTAGTTTTTTTTTATTATTCAAATATTTTTTATTACAAATTTATATTCGGACCCAGTTGTAATTAGAACATCGGTGCTTCTAAGAATAAGGCTTTATTTCTAAAGTTTTCTCTTTGGAAACATCCTGACGCATAGTATTTCTTTATATATCGTCCATTAATAGGAAACATAGGTCGTTCTCCTTGACAATTTACTAGTTGGTAGGCACCTCCAGAGTAAACCCTTTCAACCATAAACGGTCCTTCCCAGGTTGGTTCAAATTTACCACCTATCTTGTGATGTGCAAGAATAGGTCTTCTAAGGATAAGAACCAAATCACCAACTTTAAAAGTCCTGGGGCGGACCAGTTTGTCATGTACTTGAATCATCCTGGCTTGATACAATTCCAAATTTTTCTGCGCTACCAGTCGTTTTCCTTCCAAATTTTCTAATTCTTCAAGTCGTAATTTAGCATTCTCTTCAATAGTGATTTTGTTGGCAACGACAACTCTGAGATAAGGAAGTTGAACTTCTAAAGGTAACATAACCTCAGACCCATACACAAGAGCGTAAGGTGTAGACTAAGTTGGAGTTTTGAACGTAGTTCTATAGGCCTATAAGGCTTCTAATAACTGCTCGTGCCAATTTCGTGCCAATTCCTTCAATTCCTTTTATTTCCATCCAAGGTCTTTTTTAGAATTTGGACGAGAGTCTTATTAAAAGCCTCGGCCAATCCATTAGCTCTCAGATTATAAATTGTAGAATAACGCCAATCTAATCAATGTCTTCTAAAAAAATTATTGATTTTCGTGCTTTTGAATGCAGACCCGTTGTCTAAGATAATTCCACGTGGTACTCCAAAACAGTAAACAACTTGATTCTTGAAGAACTGTAAGACATGGTGTGCTTTTACTTCTCTCAACAGTATTGCTTCTTCCCACTTTAAGAAGTATTCAGTAGCGGCTAGAATGAACCGATGTCCCTTTGAAGATGGAGGGTCTATAGGACCCACCACATCTGTGCCCCAACATTCAAATGGCCATGACACAACTATCGGGTGTAGCACATTTGGGGGTTGATGTAAGACCACTCCATGTACTTGGCATTGGTGACAACTTTTGACAATTTTCATACAGTCGGTCATCATTGCGGGTCAGTAATATCCTAGCCTTTTAATTTTCATTTTCATCTTCGGACATGACCGATGAGCGCCACAAAGTCCTGAGTGTACCTCTTTAACAATTTCTTGAGCTTTTGTATCATTCAAGCACCTCAACCACATTTGGTCAAAAGATCTTTGGTAAAGAACATTATTTATTAAAGCATATGATAGGGCTCTTTTCTTTATCTGATGCGCCACTGAGTTATCATCTGATAACTTTTCTATCTGCAAATATTCTATAAAATGATTGAAAGGTTGATGCCAGCCTTCTGCAGTTTTGGTAGTTTTCATTACTGTTTCCTCTTTACCTAATTTTTCCAAAGTATCTACATTGATTTGGGACATAACTTGAAGTCCTTGAACAATGATCTTAATGGAATCTTGTTGTGGAAATGCAAATTCCTTGGCAAGTTTAGTTAAGGAATCTGCGAGAGTATTTTCTCCCCTTGGGATTCTATTTATTGTCACGTCTACAATCTATTCTAATAACTTCATTGTATACCGATGATATTGTTCCAATTTAGGCTTCAAAATTCTGTATTGCCCAACAACCTGTTGAATGATCAACTATGAATCTCCGTAAATATTAATGTCAGTTATACCCATTGATATTGCTAATTGTAACCCTAATATCAACGCTTCGTACTCTGCCTCATTATTCGTGCACAGTTCTGTCAAATGATAAGAATACCTTAACATCCCTTTTTCTGGTGTAATGAAGATCAATCCAATCCCTGCTTTACCAGGTATTATTGTTTGCAATTCTTTATCTCTTTGTGCTGAAGAAGCCCCATCAAAATATAGTTCCCAACGTTGAGTCTTGGACTTTTCCACATCCATTATCTGTTCATCTAGAAAATCATTATTGAGAGGGGAACTAGCCGGTAATGGGTGTGCTACAAGGAAGTCTGCTAAAATTTGTGCTTTCACAGCTCAGAATAGAATAAAAGTTATATCAAATTGCAATAATACCATGGTCCATCTTGCTAACCTACCAGAAAGCATTGGTCGGGTCATTAAATATTGCAATGGATTAAATTTCAAGGTAAGGTTGACTTTGTGAGAAAGCATGTAATGACGGAGTTTCTGAACTGCAAAGATTAAAGCTAAACAATGTTTCTCAATTGAAGGATATTTTACTTCAGTTGGAATTAAACGATGGCTTAAGTAATAAAGAGCATTTTTTTTACCCTCATCGTTGACTTGGGCTAACAGGGCTCCGAGGGAGTCATCCAAAGCTGTGGGATAAAGTATTAAATGTCTGTCCAAAATGGGCGCTGCCAAGACAGAAGGTGTCGTTAGGTATTGCTTAATGCTCTCAAAAGCACGTTGACATTTATCATCCCAGATAAAATTTACATCTTTCTTAGTCAACACGGAAAAAGGTTGACATCTACTTGAAAAGTTAGAGATAAAGCGTCTTAAATACGCCAGCCTCCTTTGAAAGATCGTAATTGTTTTAGATTTTTAGGGGGTGGCATTTCCAAGATGGCTTTAATCTTACCCGGGTCAATCTCAATCCCGCGGTGGTGAATAACAAACCCTAAAAATTTCCTAGAAGTCACACGGAATGCGCACTTTAGAGGATTCATCTTAAAGTTAAATTGTCGTAGCCGCTCAAAGACAATTCTCAAATCGTACAAATGATCTTCTTTTTACTTGCTTCTGATGATCAAATCATCCACATAACATTCCACCTGATTATGAATGAGGTCATCAAAGATCCTTGTCATTGCTCGCTGATACGTTGCACCAGCATTCTTCAATCCGAAAGGCATTATTGTATAACAATAAACTCCAATTGGCGTTCAGAAAGTTGTAAATCTTTTTTCTTTTGGAGCCATTTTATTTGATTATACCCAGACAATCCATCCATGAAAGAGAAAATTTCATGAGATGATGCAATATCCACCATCAATTATAGGATTGGAAGAGGAAACTCATCTTTTGTATTCAAATCTCTAAAGTCCACGCAAATTCAAATTTGCCCATTTTTCTTCTTAACTGGTACTATACTAGCCAACCACGTAGGGTATTGTTCTTCCTGTATGAATTTAGCGTCTATTAATTTCTTGACTTCATTTATAACTTGTTGTTCAATATCAAGACACATTCTTCTTGAAGCTTGCTTAACTAGAATAGCGGTTGGATCTAAACCCAACTTGTGTACTGCAACTTCTGGCACCAATCCGTGCATTTCCTCATAACTCGAAGCAAAACAATCTTTGAACTCTATCAACAGCTTAATCATATTTATATATTCTTCTTCGCCAAGTAGAGAGCTAATAAAAATTGGCCTTGATTCCTTTTCGTTACCCAGGTTAATTTATTGTAACTCATCTACTGTTGATTTAATCTCTTCTTCGAATTCTGGTGGGGCATCCTCAATTGTAGACTCTTCATAGTTGTTCAAAACTTCCAAACAATCTTCTTCATGTCGATTAGTAACAACTAAGCAAAATTTCGTATCATCAACAGGCCCTACTATGCCGAATCCAAGACCTCGCTTAGAATTAAAGGCTTGATTATCATTATTCCAAAGTTTCTCAAAGTATCGTAATTGATTTTTTGACCATTGCTTAGGTACCAAACCACGCTGAGCAAGATTTTGAACACAAGGCGAGTACCAATCAACAGGTAATTCCATTAACTTGGAAAAAAGCTCATCTTCTGTTCTACACTGATCTCAGAACTAGAGGATGAAGAATCGCGATGAAACTTAATTGCTTTCATATCTGCACTATGCACTTCTTTGACCATCTGACCATCAATTTTATGAGTAGAAATTGGGGTGAGGGTCATAGTTTGTACATAGCGATTAATCTGATCATACATTGAACCATAATCACGTTTCTCTTCGTCTTCTAAATAAATTTTGAAAAGAGGTTTCTTCTGATTAATCGTCATAGTGCCTTTCCTTATTTTTTCATCTTCAGAACTATCTTCCAAAAACGATGATTGAACTCTTTTGTTCGATAATTTTATCATTCCTTCCGCGACCTCGTCCCCGGCCTCGACCTCGAATACAAGTTCTAGAGGAACTCTCACCCTCTTGTTGTAAAGGGGTAATAAAAGATCGTTGAATTGGTATTGGATGACTTTGTCTTTGTATATATTTTAGACCCTTTATGTTTCTTGTAATATTGTCTTGAAGTGTAACGTTCCTTTTCAGAGGAGTATAGTAAGTGGTATCTTCATGAATTGAAAATGGCTGCAAATCTCCCTTTATATAATATTCTTGTCCTTCCAAAAAATACTTTATGCATTGGTGTAGTGACGAAGAAACTAAACTGTTCTCATTAATCCAGGGTCGGCCCAAGAGAGCATTGAACGAAGTCTCATAATCAATGATATGGAATTTCACAGTTGTTACTAATTCTCCAATTTTCATCAGTAATATAATTGATCCAAGAGATCTTTCCCCTTTCTGGTTAAAGCCTCTTAACATCATCCTATCAGCAGTCAATTGTCTTGCATCTATGTCCTAATAGACCAAAGTTCGTAAACTCATTATATTAATGGATGCCCCTGGATCCACTAATACTCTGGAGAGCATGAAGTTACCGATGTTGACAGAAATATACAACAGACGATTATGATCAACGGTCCCAAGTAGCAAAGCATCATTTGTGAATGTTATTTTTGCTTGTTCTCTTAATGAACAATCCTCATCCAAGGAAGTACTAGCAAGTTGAGCTAAACAGATTTCTGGATCTAGCAAAGATTTTATTAAAGCCTCC